TCACACACCAGGGCTTGTCGTGGGGTTGGGGGAGCGGGGAGGGATAGCATTAGGAGATATACCGAATGTAAATGATGAGTTAATGGGTGCAGCACATCAACATGGCACATGTGAACATATGTAACAAATCTGCACATTGTGCACATGTACCCTAGATCTTAAATTACAATAAAAAAATTAATTAATTTTTAAAAAAAGAAAATTGTATATATACAATGGAATACTATACAGCCATAAAAAGGAATCAGTTAACAGTATTTGCAGTGACCTGGATGAGACTGGAGACTATTATTCTAAGTTAAATAACTCAGAAATGAAAAACCAAATATTGCATGTTCTCACTGATATGTGGGGGCTAAACTATGAGGACGCAAAGACATAAGAATTAGGAAATGGACATTGTGGACTTGCAGGGAAGAGTGGGAGTGGGGCACAGGATAGAAGACTACAAATGTGGTGCAGTGTATGCTGCTTGGGTGATGGGTACACCAAAATCTCACAAATCACCACGAAAGAACTTACTCATGTAACCAAATACCACCTGTACCCTCAATAACTAAGGGAAAAATAAAATTTAAATAATAATAAATAAAAGTACTTAGAAAAATTTTTTTTAAATCACTAGTGTTTCTAAACACCAATGACAGACTACCTGAAAAAGAAATGAAGCAAGCAATCCCATTTGAAATAGCTACCAAAAAAATGAATATCTAGGAATAAATTTAACCAAGGCAATAAAAGACCTGTACAATGAAAACAATAAAACACGGATGAAAGAAATTGAAGAGGATACAAAGAAATGGAAAGACATCCCACATTCTTGGACTGGAAGAATTAATATTGTTAAAATGACTGTACTACTACAGATGCAATGCAATTCCTAGTATGATACCAATGACATTCTTCACAGAAATAGAAAAAAAATTCTAAAATTTGTATGGAACCACAAAAGACCCCAAATAACCAAAGCAATACTGAGAAAAAAAAAAAAGAAGAAGAAGAAAAAAAAAAGCTGGAGGCATTACACTATCTGACTTCAAATATACTACAAAGCTATAGTAATACTATGGTTTTGGCGTAAAAACAGACATACAGACTAATAGAACAGAATGGAGAACCCAGAGCTAAATCCACATATTTACGGCCAACTGATTTACTTTTCTTTTCTTTTCTTTTCTTTTCTTTCCTTTTATTTTATTTTATGTTATTTTATTTGAGACAGGATCCTGCTGGAGTGCAGCAGTTTGATCTCGGCTCACTGCAGCATCTGCCTCCCAGGTTTAAGAGATTCTCATGCCTCAGGCCCCTGCGTAGCTGGGATTACAGGTGTGTGCCACCACACCCAGCTAATTTTTATATTTTTAGTAGAGACGAGGTTTCATCATGTTGGCCAGGCTGCTCTCAAACTTCTAACCTCAAGTGATCCACCCGCCTTGGCTTCCTAAAGTGCTGGGATTACAAGCGTGAGCCACCAACCCTGGCCAAGGCCAACTGATTTTCAACAAAGTTACCTTCATTCATTGGGAAAAGGACAATCTGTTTAATAAATGGATGATGGAAAAACTAGATATCCATATGCAAAAGAATAAAAATAGGCCCCAATAGCTCACCATTTATAAAAATCAATTTTAAATGGATTAAAGACTTAAACATCATAACTGAAACTATGAAACTACTAAAAGAAAATATAAAGGAAACACTTTAAGACATTGGTCTGGGCAAAGATTTTATGAATAAGACTATAAAAGCCAGACAAAGAAACAAAAATAGACAAATGAAATTATATCAAACTAAAAAGGTTCCGCATAGCAAAGCAAACCTGCCAATAGAGTGAAGAGACAACCTATTGAAAGGGATAAAATATTTTTCCAACAAGGAATTTACCTCCAGAATATATAAAAAACTTAACAGTAGTAAAACAAATATTCCAATTTAAAAATTGGCAAATGGTCTGGGTGTGGTAGCTCACGCCTATAATCCCAGCACTTTGGGAGACCAAGGTGGGCAGATCATCTGAGGTCAGGAGTTCAAGAACATCCTGACCAACACAGTGAAACCCCATCTCTACTAACACTACAAAAACTAGCTGGGCATGGTGGCACGTGCCTGTAGTCCCAGCTACTCAGGAGGCTGAGGCAGGAGAATTGCTCAAACCCAGGAGGTAGAGATTGCAGTGAGCCCAGATCGTGCCACTGCACTCCAGCCTGGGCAACAGAGAGAGACTCTGTCTCAAAATAAATAAATAAATAAAATAAAATAAAATAAAAATTGACAAATGATCTAAATACACATTTCTCAAAAAAAGACATAAAAATGACTTACAATCATAGAAAAATGCTCAGCATCACTAATAATCAGGAAAATGCAAATCAAAACCACCAGGAGATATTATCTCACTTCAGTTAGGATGACTATTATTAAAAAGACAAAAAATAATAAGTGCTAGAGAGAATGCAGAGAAATGAGAACTCTTCTACACTATTGATGGGAAAGTATAGTATAGTATAGCCATATGGAAAACAGTATGAAGGCTCTTCAAAAAACTAAAAATAGAACCACCATATGATCCAGCAATACCATTACTAGGTATATATCCAAAGGAAAGGACATCAGTATGTCAAAGAGATATGTGTCTCTCTTGTTTATTGCACCACTATTCACAATAGTCAAGATACAGAATCAACATAAATGTCCATTAACAGATGAATCAATTTTTAAAATGTGGTGAATGTATGCAATGGAATACTATTCAGCCACCTAAAAGAGTGAAATCCTGTTATTCACAGCAGCACGGATGAGCTTAGAGGACATTATGTTAAGTGAAATAAGTCAGGCACAGAAAGACACATACCTCTTGTTCTCACTCATATATGGAAGCTAAAAGAGTTGATCTCATAAAAATAGAAGGTAAAATAGTGGTTACTAGAGGCTGGGAAGGATAACATGTAAGGAGGACAGGAAGGGCAGGTAGGGAGAGGTCAGTTAGCAGACACAAGAGGCCAAGTGTGGAGGCTCATGCCTGTAATCTCAGCACTTTGGGAGGCCAAGGCAGGCGGATCGCTTGAGGTCAGGAGTTCAAGATCAGTATGGCCAACATGATAAGATCCCGTCTCTACTAAAAATACAAAAATTAATAAGGTATGGTGGTGCACACCTATATTCCAGCTACTTGGGAGGCTGATGCAGGAGAACCACTTGAACCCGGGAGGCAGAGGTTGCAGTGAGCCAAGATGGAGCCACTGTACTGCAGCCTGGGTGACACATCAAAACTCTATCTCAAAAAAAAAAAACAAAAAAGGTCAAAAAAATCATAAGTTGAGCCATCATTAAGTCAGGGACCTTCACAAGTCCGTAGTAGTAAGCTCAGTACCTTTTTGTGGAAAATGAGCAACTTACTAAATCTTATGAAAGGGAATACATCCTCTATTCTACTATATCTAGTTTCCATCCTTGAAAACAAACAAACCAAAAAAGTAATACTCATTGGAAATAATAAAATGATAAAATGAACCTAAGGTATCCTTTTATGAAATTACCTGCTATAATAGTAAAAACAAAAACAAAACCTGGAAATAGCTTTAGCTACAATGAGAAAAAGTTGTTAAATAAATTTCATTAATTTAGTAAGCTATCATGAAGTCATTAAAATAACTATGAGCACTACACAGAACCACAGTGCTGTGGTTTGAATGTCTCCTCCAAAACTCACACTGAAATTTAATTGCCATTGTGACAATATTAAGACGTGGGACCTTTAAGAGGTGATTAGATCATGAGAGCTCTCCCCTTAGTAACAGATTGATGCCACTATCTCCGGAGCGGGTTAGTGACCTCAGGAGTGTGTTCCTGATCAAAGGATGAAATTCAGCGCACATCCTTTCTATATCTTGCATGATCTCATGCCCTCCTACCCTTCCACCATACAATAACTCAATAAGAAGACTAGGCACGGTAGCTCATGCCTGTAATCCCAGCACTTTGTGAGGCCGAGGCGGGCAAATAACCTGAGGTCGGGAGTTCGAGACCAGCCTGACCAACATGGAGAAACCCCATCTCTACTAAAAATACAAAAAATTATCCAGGCATGGTGGCACATGCCTGTAATCCCAGCCACTCGGGAGGCTGAGGCAGGAGAATCACTTGAACCCGGGAGGCGGACGTTGCAGTGAGCCGAGATTGCACCATTGCACACCAGCCTAGGCAATAAGAGCAAAACTCCGTCTCAGAAAAAATAAAAAGAAAAGAGAATAACGCAGTAAGAAGGCCCTCGCCAGATGCCAGTACCATGATCTTGAACTTCTCTGCTTCCAGAATCATGAGTCAAATAAACTTGCATTGTTGATAAATTACCCCATCTGTGGAATTCTGTTATGCCAGCAGAAAATGGAAATAGATACATAGAAATATTTATGATATATTAAATGAAAGAAGATAAAAATGGTATGGAGTCTAAGTACAACTATGTCAATTATTATATACATGGACATTGATAAAATGATAGTAAACAAAATGTTGAAAGGCTGTGTTATTTACCACTAAAAGGCAGTAAAATTCAAAGTACTTCATAGGATAAACAAAGGAAAAGATAAATTCATCTAGAAGACCTGCAAAATCTGGACCATACTTTTAGTAGCAAGGAATTGTAAGGTTTCCCTGTGCCTCTCTAACCCAGTGAGTAAATATAAAACCATCAAAACTACTTACCACAGTTTAAAATTTTAACCTGTGGCCTAGAAAAATATTTTCACTTTTTATGAAAACAATATTAACAACTTGGTTTCAACAAATTTATACATTTAAAAAATGAATGAACAATACTAATAACATGGATTGGGAAAGATAAAAGTAAAGTGTGTTCCTTATGCAAAGACACATCTTACTATTAGTAGATATATGTGAAATATTCTATCTTGGGAAAAATTAAGAAAACCATATTTTTAAAAATTTAGATCTTACCAAAGGATGAAGAAAAAAATTAAGAGAAAGAACTTTTGAAATACCTATTATGTTGACTCTTCCTGGTGCTCGAACATAAAACTTGGGAATAGATCCAAACTTGGAGTTAAACATCTCCTTTAGCTTCAGTAACCTGAAAATAAGAGTACAATATTTCAGATTATCATATAACAGAAAATCCATAACATACAAACACACACACACACTCACTCCATATGCCTGCCACCACTCATTATTCCTTAAAAGAATAAAAGCAAAATTTCCTAGTGACATACTTCCTTGAAAATCCCAAATGAACAATACTGTAATCTCTAAATGGCACAAAAGTATAGCTAAGTACACTGAAGAATTTAAAAGTTAAGATTGATATACCCAACAGAAAAAGCTACTTCCTTCCCTTTTGAAGAATCTAGTTTCTGTATACTTTTTTGGTGACATTCAGGGCAGAATCTCTTATATTAAAAGGTGCACCATGCGGTAGTATATTTAGTTTCCTAAGGCTGTCATAACAAAGAACTATAAACTGGATGACTTAACACAACAGAGATTTATAATCACAATTCTGCAGCCAGAAGTCTAAAGTCAGAGGTCAGTAGTACCTCTGAAAGCTGTAGAGGAGAATCCTTTCTTCCCTGCCTCTTTCTATCTACTGGTAGCAGCCATCAATCCTTGGTATTCCTTGGCTTTCAGCTTCATCACTCTTATCTCTGCTGTGTCACCACATGGCATTCTCTCTGTTTTTCCTTCTTATAAGGACACCAGTCATATTGGATTAAAGTCCATCCACTCTAATTGAGTATGACCTCATCTTAATTGATTATATTTGCGAAGATGCTAGTCCAAATAAGGTCACATTCTGCAGTTTCAAGTAGATATGAATTTGGGGGGTTATACTGTCTAACTCAGAACATGTAGTAAAATAAAAACTAGACTGGACATCAGGAAACCACAGTTCTAATTCTAATGAGATCTCTAATTCAATGTCGAAGTTTCGCAAATCATTTTCTCCTCGCCTGTCTTCTCTAAAATTTGAGAATTTGAACTAGATATTCCTCATAGGTCCCTTCCAGACCCAAAATTCTTGTAACATATTTAATAACTCGATACTCTCAAATTATCTCAAGTCAATTCTGTGAATAGCCCTCATTATTTGTAGTCTCACATCATATTGTATCTGGGTACTAACACCGGGATAATAAACATTTATTAAAGCCTAATATATTCAGGATATTAATTAATTAAGAAACAGAGACCCACACCCAAAAAAACTCAAGAAAATTTAATATAATAATATAAAAATATGTGGAATATTGTTGGAAGTTATTCAAGCTCATCTCTTGGGAATTGAATAGTCATCAGAAACTGTTTATATCAGTTTCTTTGGCTCTCTTCCTGCCTCATTCTCTTATTGCTCCAAAGACACCATTATAATTTCTCTCTGCTTAGTACTTTTTGCATTCCACCTGCCTCTGTGAACCTCTTAGTTTCTGCTCCTCCATACCTTCAGTTTTCATGGCACTGTGGCCTTGACTATACAAGACTTAACAGCTCCAGTGTCCTATACTAACTGATTACATTTCTGTGTCCTTTCGTTGAAATTCTCGAAAGATATAATCAGCTTGGCAGAGTTTAAGTCCTGTACCCATACAGGTCTAGACATCTGTGGCCAAAGGGTGAGGTCATTTAGTACAAATAAGGTCACTTGTTTTAGTTACAAATATGATCACTTGTGCTTACTCCTTCAGCAGAGGCTGTGGAAGAGAACAAAAGATCGCAGCAGGGAGACAATAACAGAATCTCTAACATATGACTCAAAATACATTTACTGAACTACCTGGTAGACGTGGCTGCCTAAATCTGAGTTTCTCTATATATCCTCAAAAAAGAAAACAAGAACAAATAAAAGTATACAAAAACTCTGTCTTCAGTATAACTAGAAGACAAAAATGCCAAACTTCAAGTTACCTATAATAGGGGGAAAAAAGAAGAGAGAAAAGAAGACCACAGTGAACTACTAGAAACAAAAATTGAGCAAAAAAGCCAGGCACCCTGGGTGTGCCTGTAGTTCCAGCTACTCTGGAGGCTAAGCCAGAAGGATCGCTTGAGCCTAGAAGTTCTGGGCTGCGGTGCGCTACGCCGTCCAGGTGTCTGCACTAAGTTGGGCTTCAATATGGTGACCTGTGGGGGCCAAGGGATTACCAGGTTGCCTAAGGAGCAGTAAACCGACATAGGAGGGAAATGGAGCAGGTCAAAACTGCTGCACTGATCAATGGCAAGATCCTGTCTGCAAGTAGCCACTGCACTCTAGCCTGGGCAACATGAGACCTTGTCTTTGAAAAAAAAAAAAAAAAAAAAAAAAAAAAAAAAAAAGGAAAGAATGAAAGAGGGGGAGGGGGGGGGGGAAGAAGGGAGGGAGGGAGGAAGGGAGGGAGGGAGGGAGAGAGGGGGAGGGAGGGAAAATTGAGTAAAATAAAGAGAAAAGAAGGGAGCCACCAAAACTAAAATTAATCTAAAACCACTACCAGAAAGAAAAAGTCCACCTATTAAAAAACAGGAGGTGTGGGAGAGAAAAAGAGGAAAGTAGAATAAGCTCATTGATTACTAAATAGGCAAGCGGTAAAAGTTAAAAGATACAAAAAAAAAAACTGACAAAGCAATGATTTTTTTAAAATTATAGTACAGACATATACAAGGATATTATTAAAGAAACAAAAGCATAGAAAGAACAGGTCCTGTACAGTCAGGTAGACCTGGGCTTAAAACTCTCCTCTACACATGATGAAATTCATTAATCTAATTCACCTTTAAACTGGATAGAAATATGTATCCCATAGATTTGTTGGGAAGATTAATAAGGTCATTTGGAACAGTGTCCAGTCCAGCACTGGCATGAAGTATGTGTTTAATAAATGGTAGTTATGATTATATCTTAGTTCCTGGGTTCAATATCATTTCCACTCTGTAGCAGGTGAATAAGAATACATCATAAGCAATGAGAGATGGTAGGTGTGTTTGTGTCAGGATAGGAAGCAATGTTAGTGCACTGGGTAATTTTAATGATGCTATTGACAAATCTTGGTGCTCTCTGCCCAGCTGCTTCTATTTTATAGAGAAGTTTGTTGAAGCAACTGAGGTTATTTGTCTGGATTTGAGATAGAATGACATAAAATTGGTGCTTTTCAACAACCACCACTGGAAAAAAATTAAAAACTGACGAAGAAGATAGTAGAAGTTAAATAAGAAAATAGTCCCCTGTTTTCTAAGGGTGTTTTAAAAATATAAGTACAAAGGTAACCAATAAAACAAAAATATAAATCTTCCTAAATACCATACAAATTTCAAAAATAAAGGAGAAGAGAAAAATATCTGGTAGATAGGAAAAACATAAAATGTACCATAGCATACAATTACAGGTTGAGCATCCCTAATTCAAAATTTCAAAATCCAAATCATTCCAAACTTTGAAGCTTTTTAAGCACAGCCATGACATCATAAGTGGAAAATTCCACACCTAAGTATTTAACACAAACTGTTTCATGAATAAAATTATTTTAAATATTGTATAAAACTACTTTCATGCTATATGAATAAGACGTATATGAAACAAATAAATTTCATATTTACATTTGGGTGCTATCTCCAAGATGTCTCATATGTATATGTAAATATTCCAAAATCCAATAAATCTGAAATCTGAAAAACTTCTAGTCTCAAGCATTTTGGACAAGGGATATTCAACCTGTATAAAATAGTACAACAACTGAAATCAAACATATTAATCACATTAATAAATGTGAATGAGCCTCAACTATTAAAACAAAAAGATTTGCAATTTTGCTCCTAAAACAGGACTGAATGTATTATGCTGTATACTAGACACATAACTAAAACAAGGTGATTCTGAAAGACTAAATATCAAGAAATGGCCAAAGATATTATAGGCAAATGAAAACAATAAGAAAACAAGTAGTAATCCTGATCAAAATTGTAGAATTTCAGCTTACGCACTAAATGTACATAGAAGGATACCTTTCTTTAGAGAGAGAGAGATAGGGTCTCACTCTGTTGCCCAGGCTAAAGTGCAATGGGCAGTGGCATGATCATGGCTCACTGCAGCCTAGAACTCCTGGGCTCAGACAATCCTGCAGTCTCAGCCTCAGCAGAACTACAGAGTCATGCTGTCATGCCTAGTTAAAATATTTTTTAATTTTTTGTAGAGGCATAGTCTCACTATGTTGCCTAGGATGGTCTCAAACTTCTGGCTTCCAGTGATCCTCCTGTCTCAGCCTACGAGAAGGATATTTCTTAATATTGAGAGCCATAAATCAAAATGAAGATATGGCAGTTAAGAAATATCCCAAATGAAACAGTAATCACTTGTATAAGGCGAAACTACAAGGTAATTTAAGGAAATACAGGTAGAAATACATTAGCAATAAGAGATTATAAGACACCTTAGTACATCAAGGAGGCCAAATCACATAGAAAAGGCTCAATAAACTTGATAAAGTAAATTTTATGGATATATACATATATCAAACATTGTACCCTCATAATAGGCAATACAACTTCTCAAGAGTACATGGAACATTCACAAATACTGATCATATATTTGGTTACAATGAAACATTAGTAAATTCCATAAAGTAGAAATAATACAAACAACACTCAATGCAACAGAACTAGAAATTATTAACAAGAAAAATGACAAAACGTCCTCCTACCTGCAAATTTCTTAAGTGTCTTTTAAACAACTCTTGGGTGAAAGGGGAAATAAAGTGAAAGAATCTAAAAATAATAATAACAGTAAAAGCTCTACTCATTAAAAATATATGGGATACATTTAAAGCAGTCAGAAAACTCCATAGTTCTAAACACTTTAGCAGTAAAAATGAAAAAATGATAATAAATTCTCATCTCCATAGGCTAGAAAATAAACAAAAAGAATGACACAAAAAAGATAAGAACAGAAAGTAATGATATGGGGAGTAGAAAACAGCAGACCTAAGTTAATAAATTCAAAGCCTGGGTTTTTAGGAAAAAAGTTAACAAAATTCTATGTGTGGATCAAATTCACACATAACAAGGTCTTTAAACTGTTAAAATAAAAACTTCATTCTAGTTAAATTTAAA